CTCTCTGTCCCCACCCTGACTTATGGGAAGCCAAAACAGCACCAGGGCCCAGTCTGACGGGACATGTGAAGGGATGATTGGGGCTGGGAGGAGATGCATATAGAGAAAGCACCAGAGCTCCATGGTATGGCATACATAGGTGAGCAGACCAGGTGTTCTTCTATACAGTCACGTAATCAAAGCATGTGATTGATCATAATACCGCAAAACTGTGCTGCATCAGATGGCCGAAGCCAAATGTATCACATATAAGGCCTAAGCAACATTTCTAGAACTGAAAGTTATCTACTTGGTCCCTGAAAGCCGCTTTCCAGGTCATGTCAAGAAATGCCAGGTTTCCTTGTATTCATCTGCCAAATGCTTCCCTGGGACACGCAGGGTGGAGATGGCAGTCGTATGGTAGAGAAAAGGCAAATCTACATGGTAACCTACGGGGCAACCTGAATTACCTGGAAGTCTTAAGAATATTTGCTTCACTAACCTTCCTCATCAATGTAGTATTGATCAGAAATCTCTTTTTGTCGGAACTTTTAAACTGGAAATGCTTCTGAAATGTTAAGTTCTTGTCTCAGCACAAGAACAGTTGGATGATGAAACTAGTACCCTGTTTTAGTGATCTGGGACTCTGCATGGCCTGAGGCTCATTCTCTAGGTTGATGATCATTACCTTTTTTTTTTTTTTTTTGGATGATCATTATGCTGTTTTTGTTAATGTTAAGAATAACATTCTTGAAGGTGATTAAGATCACTCTCTCTTTTACTGTAATTTAAAGCTGATTAAGTACATGACCTTATGAATTTGACCTGATTAATCATGGCTCCTGGTTAACCAAGGGAAAAAGAACAACAGAGACTGTGTGATAGCTGGTTGGCAGATGGTGTGTCCCCAGGAAACGGAAAAGGCTTGAAGTTTGTGCCTGAAGGACCATCAGGCCTGCCTGTGGATGGATACCAGGGTGGGAAGGTAGTTAAGCCCAGTGGGGACATACAGATATCTGCTCATGACAATGAAGCATAAGTGGTTCCCAGGGTCAGTGATCAGACTTTGTCTTCTCAGCATCAAAAGCAGTGCCTGGCAAAAAAAAAAAAAAAAAAAAAAGCAGTGCCTGGCACACAGCAGATGTTCAATACAAATTTGTCAAATGAATGGAGGCCTGCCCATCCCATCTATTCTTCACAGATTTCCTCAGATCACCTCATTTGTCCACTATCTGTCCACTCTCTACCTTACCCTTCCCTCCATCTAGAATTTACGTGCCTACTGTGAGGTGCTAAACCATGAGCTATAAGGGATTTGAGAGTAAACAATATATAACCCTTTATGCAAAGTCAGGCACCCCTCCGTTTCATTGGAGAAGGAGAAGAAATGATAACTGGTGGACTTTACAGAGTAGCCTGAATACAAACTGCATGCTGGTATGCCTTCATTACTCCATCCACTCTTCACCTTTGGCAAATCCCTTGATGATTCAGTCCGGGTGCTTCTGAAGGGAAACGTCCATCTTCCTGTCCAGGTGTGGTGTAGGCATGGGTCATTACCTGAGCAGGATGCTGGGTGCAGGGCTACCTCTACTGAGGACTTCATTTGAAACAGTTTCATCCTGCTTGTTTCCTTGGTAATGAATCAAATAAAAGCTTCTTCCAACCCTTCCCACTCTTCCTTACTTCACTTCATGTTCTCTCCTTTTGGAGCCAGGGGATGCTCCAAGAGGGCAAATGGGAAGTTCTGAGGCCACTTCAGTGCTGCAATTTCCTGGATGGTAAGAAAACTTCCAGCAAGGTGCTCTAAGGCCAATTCTGGGCCCATGTTAGAATGCTTACGGCAGAAGTATGCCTCTCTCCACCTACCATCCCCACTGCCCCCAACCCTTTTATTGTCCCTTGCTGTTCAGAATAAGAACCGCTTCTCTCTGGTATCACTTCAAAGAGAAGAATACAAAGGAAAGGCCTAACAAAGGATTCTGGAAATTGCACCACCTCAAAGGGTAACGTGGCCATTTATCCTAGGATATAGAGTTAGGTCTCTATTCTAGAGGATGATCTGAAATTTAGAACCATTCTTTATGATTACTAGGTTTGACTTCTGTTTTTGCTTTAATTTTACTTAGCTATATGGATTTCTTCTCTTTTCTTTTTTTAGAATCCAAAATCTTTTCCTTTACAAACTGCGTTCTGATATGTTTGCACTTAATGCTTTTCTCTAAGTGCAAACCTCTAATTTGGTGACATTCAGACTCAGACCTGGGCCTTTGCATCACATGTGACGCTATGATCTGCAATATGTTTTTTTCCCCCTTGGAGGACTCTTTTTTTTTAACTTTTATTTAAGTCCAATTAGCTGCAATGTGCTCTCTGAGACCATTGCTTTCTGCACTAGATCAAGACAGTACATTACTACTCTCTGGGCATAGTACAGTCACATGATCCTTTCTGTTTGTGGCAATTGCACCTGCAGTTCTAAAGTCATAGAACTGAGAAACCATTTTGATTCCGATTCATCTTCACAATGTAGAGGAGGGCCAAAGTCACCATCCCCATTCCACAGGTGGGGAAACCAAAGCACAGAGAGGTGATCTACCCGAAGTCACTCAGTAAGTCAGAAAAAAAACTGAACAAAGGGCAAGGTAAGATCACCTGTGTACCTTTCAGTGCCTTATCCAGAAAACCTGATTGTGGGATGCCTGGGTGGCTCAGCGGTTAAGGGTCTGCCTTCGGCTCAGGGTGTGATCCTGGAGTCTTGGGATCAAGTCCCACATCGGGCTCCCTGCATGGAGCCTGCTTCTCCCTCTGCCTATGTCTCTGCCTCTCTCTGTGTGTGTCTCTCATGAATAAATAAATAAAATCTTAAAAAAAAAACTCAGAAAAAAAAAGAAAACCTGATTGCATCCTTCTCAAATGAATGCATGTACTTTGGAAGAAAGTAGTTTTAGGTGTTTTCTATTAAGGTCTCAAAAGTTCTCTAGGAAACCAGGAGCCACAAAGTAAGAACCAGTTAAGTCCCAAATTAACCTTTTTAGTTAGATGCCCCTGACTCAGACAATACCAATTATTACAGCTAGCTCACTGATTACCGGGATACCGACAAGAAGAAAATTAGAGGGAAAAATTCACCCATTCAAGAAATGAACCTTGGCACAGCTCCTGTGTAACACCTAAGTATTGGTCCCTTCTACACAATGCTTTTGTACCTGCTGGCATGCAATTGGGGAAGGGGGTACAGATGGGAGTGTGTGTATATGTGTGTGTGTGTGTGTGTGTAATACCAGACATTTTGGGGACAATTCTGCCCCGAAGAATACACATGAAACATGTCTAATACAGTAGTTCTCTACCCTGATTCTTTTTTTATTTTATTTTTTGGTAACTTTTATTTCCTGCTCCTGATTTAATGTAAAATGCAATGTTTTCTGTGATGAAGGCGGAGTCAGTGGGTGGATATGGCTGGGGGCTGATTTAGGCTTCATGGGAAGGAAGTATTAAAGTTGCCTGAGGACAACTGGCCTGGTCTTGCGAGTACTCCACCACCCCCCCCAGAAGCTAAATGATCATCTGGTGTGACGCACTGCCCCTTCCAACGCCAGGAATCCATATTCCCAGAAACAAACTAGGCCAACAGCAGCCTTCCTGCCTCCCAACTCCAAGTCAAGAAAGGCACAAATAAGACCAACAAATAATACTGAGGCGGTGCTTTGGATCCAGAAGACCTTGAGGTACCAGAAGAGTACTGATGGCCCCATTTGGCCAGTAGGAAAAGTGAGGCAATGGAGAGACAGATTCAACACTTTTGGCAAAGGTGAGAGGGAACCAGGAACTTAAGGGGGACATTCTTTTTTCCTCATGGGGGCGGCGGTGGGGGGGGGGCAGAGGGTGGAGGAGGGGAAGATATACTACCAACAGTAGCGACCACAACTCACAACAGCAAAGTGGCAATGTTTGCCATCACAGGAAATTACCCTCAGAGCAGCCAGGATGGATCCTTCACAAAGGGAATCCTAGCTCCAGGCTCACTGGGCCCACCACCCTTGGGACTGCGTCCAGGGCTAGAGATTTAGGCAGGATTGGCCTGGGCAGGCACATAAGGTAGCTCTGCTTCTTAAGGCATGGCTGCTGTCTTTCGAGGAGTGGGCTCCACACTGGGAGGTGGGCATCAGACACTGCCTCCCCTGAAGCTACCCTGCAAGAAAGCAGAATCGGGCGGAACACTGCTGCCTAGGGAACTCATCTCCCCCAGGGGCTAGGGGCTTCCACTAAAGCGAACAGCATCAGTAAAACAGCCGATTTCTTGTGTCACTTGGGAGAATAAGGAGAGAGAGGGGAAAAAGACACAAATTGATCATTATTTGCAGGATGATTGTCTAACTGGAAAGCCTAGGGGAATCAACCAAAAAAGTATCAGAACTAAGCCCAGAATTTGCTCAAGTGGCAGATTAAACTTCAAGCATACAAAAATCAATCGCTTTTGGGGTCACTTGGTGTGGCCTAACACCTTGGAACAGCTGTGCTTTTCTGCGAGGCCGCCAAGCTTTGTGCAACTTGCCATTATTTAAAAGGATGGAGGTGAGCCAAGGAGACACCGCCTCAGCTGCAGTAACCAATGTCACCCCAGACACCAACAGGCGACAGGTGCCTGGGCTGACTGCTGCCCAAGGGAGCCGCCACCTCTCCACCTTCTCCTACAGGGGCCCTCCCCCAGTCCCGACTCAGCTCAGCTCCCCTCTCCCAGCTCTTTTTCTATTCCAACCCTTGGTGAGGGCTGCTGCAGGAGCCACGGAGGATGGATGTGGTCAGAGATTGTGCTATGTCATTTCCAAATGAAGTGAGTTTTTAAAAAGGCGGTGAGCTGGCAGGTCTCAAATCTGTCTCCTCATTGCCTCATTGGTAGGGAGCCTGGCGAGGCCGCGGGGCTGGGCCTCCACTAGAGACTTCCACAGTCTGGTCAAAAAGGCCAAGGGAGGCCCCGAAGGGCTGAGGGTGGCAGCCTGGCCAGCTCTGGGCGGCGGTCATTTGCGGTCGAGGCTGGCGTGCAGCTGGGCTTCCCGCACCATGCGGTCGAAGGAGCGCGTGTTGGTCTCCTCGCGAACCTTCTCGCGCACGTGGAAGGAGGCCCGGGCCGTGGAGCGGGCGCTCTCCAGCGCGCTCCGTCGCTCCCGGGACAGCTGCTCGCTGCGCTCCAGCTTGCGCCCGATGGCCTGCAGCAGCTCCCGCCGGCGGCAGTCTTCGTCCCTCTCCACCTTCTCCTTATTGGCGCGCTGGGCCCGTTCCTTCTCCAGCCTGCTCTGGCCCACGCGCCGCGCCTTCTGCTGCACCGCTTCCTCGGCAGCCTGCATGGCGTGCTGCAGCCGCCGCTCCCCCGCCCGGGCCAGCGCCTCCAGGTGCGCCTGGTGTTCGCGCTCTTTGCGCTCGGCCACCTCCTTGGCCCGCCGGCCCTGCAGCTCCTCCCGCCGGGCCCGCTCCCGCAGCTCGCGGGCGCGCTGCTCCACCAACTGCTCGTAGTTCTCCTGCGCGCGGCCCAAGCTGGCCTCCAGGGAGCTCCGCAAGCCCTCGCGCTCCGCGCGCTCCTGCCGAGCCCGGCCTTGCAGCAGAGCCTCGTGGCGCGCCCGCTCCGCCCGGCTCAGCTCCCGCTTCTCCCGCTGCAGCTGGCCCTCCTGCCGCTGCTTGGTGCGGGCCGCGCGCTGGGCGCGCTCCCTGCGGGCCAGCTCGGCGCGCTCGCGCCCCTCCTGCAGGCCCTCCTCCCGCTGCTTCAGGTTCTGCTCCTGCTGCAGCTTGCGCAGCCGATCCTCCCGGGCCGCGCGCTCCACGCGTTCCCGCCGCAGCAGGCCCTGGCGTTCGGCCAGCTCCCGCCGCCGCTCCTCGCTGCGCTCGCACTGCCGCTGTCGCCGCCGCGCCTCTTCGCGCTCTTCGCGGCCCCGGCGGCCGCGCCGCTCCTCCACCTGCGCGGCCCAGGCCCGGCGGCCCTGCTCCAGCGCGCGCTGCTTCTCCCGCTCCTCGCGCTCCCGCCGCTGCTCCGCCCGCGCGCGCTGCTGCTCCCACTGGCCGTGGGCGGCGGCGCGCTGCTCGAGCAGCAGGCGCTCCTCCTGGTGGCGCGCCAGCATCAGCGCCGCGATCTTTCGGTCGCGGTCCGGCACCCCACGCAGGCCTCGCTCGGCGCGCACTTGGCGCACGATGCGCTCCACGTGCTGAGCGGTCTGCGGAGAGTGGCTCAGGTCACCCAGGCTGAAGCTGCGGCCCGTGAGCGGCACCAGGGCCAGGGCGGAAGGGCGGCCCAGCGGGTTGGGGGCGGAGGACGCGGAGCCCGCAGGGCAGCTGTTCCTGGCCAAGGCCCGCGGAGGCCAGCGCAGCTCCCGCAGGCTCTCCCCGCTGTAGGACGAGGACGACGCGCCGGACTCGGAGCTGAGGGCGCCCTCGCGCCGGCGGGACAGCGAGTCCAGCGAGTGGCTCTTCCTGCCGGCCCGCGAAGCGGCGGGCGGAGGTTGCGTCCGGGCGGGGGACGGGCTGGAGGACGCCTTGCGGGTGGCACGCGGCGCGGGCGAGGCCGGGAGGCTGGCGCTGCTGCTGCTGCTGCTGCCGCCTGCGCTGGGGACCGAGGCGGCGGCGGCCGCGGCGCCCAGCGGCGTGAAGAGGCGCCGCTTCTCCTCGCGCACGATGCGCTCGCGCTCGGCCCGGCACTGCTGCAGCTTGGCGCGCCGCTCCGCCTCGTAGGCCTCGTACAGGCCGGCGGCCACTCGCATGGAGCGGCCCGGGGCCTCGCGCACCAGGTCCGCCAGGGCGCGCGGCAGCAGCTCCACCGGCTTGACGGCGCAGCGGGCGCAGGCCTCCAGCGAGCGGGGACTGGTCAGCACGTAGCGGCTGCCCTCGGCCTCCGGACAGTCGAAGTTGAAGAGGTCGAGGTGCAGCAGCGGAGACTGCTCCCGCCGCCCGCCTTCTTCCGCGGCGCTCGGGGCTTCAGCCTTGTGGGGCTGCGCCGCCGCCGCCGCCGCCGCCGCCGCCGCCGCCGAGGCCGAGGGCGAAGCCGAAGAGGCGGCGGGCTGCTGGGCGCCCTGGGCGTCGGGGGGCGCGGACGCAGCGGCTCCATCGCCGGCCGAACCTTCAGGCTCGGCTCCCGCCTTTTCCTCTTCCGACACGGGGTCTACCATGGCTGGGCCCTGTCCTTTTGTGGAGTCCCTGAGGGAGACAAGGGGGGGGGACACCGAGGAATATAGAGCAGCCCCCCCCGCCCCATTCATATACAGCCCCTCCCAATTTAATCCGCTTTGGGATTAGACTCAGAGGTCCAGTGGAACGTAAATCATAATACGGCTGCCCTGAAAACCCAGGCGGGGGCGGGGGGCGGGAGAGGGCGGGTACTGGTGCAAAGAGGAAAGCCTCAACCTCCCCCAGCCGGTGTGCGGGGCAGGAGTCTGGGGCCCGGCTCCCCAGGGCGCCTGGCCCGCTGGATGCATCTCCTTCCTGCAGCAAGTTAAGATGAAAAGATCGCGGTGCGGGCAGTAGCCGGCCAGGGAGGCTGTGGAGGATTCCCGGGAGGATTAGTGCATTTGTTTGTAGCTTAGGCGGGGATCGGGGATGCAGCTTTGCAGGAACAAAAAAGGAAGAGGCCTGTTCATCCTCAAAGTGCATTGCTGTGAGGACCCCATTTGCCTAGGGAGGAAGTTTATTTGGGATTAGGCTCAGAGGCCCTGTGATTTGTATGATAAATTTACATGATCTATAGTATATGAATTCCCCCCTGCCAAAGGACGCCGCGGCCTGGGGCTGATGGAAGGTCGGAGAGAAATGCCTCAATTACAAAAGGCCTCCCCGGAGAGGTGTTCGATTCTCGTTCTGTCTTGGGCAAGGCTTGCTGGAGCTGTGCTCGTCCCCCCACCCCCCATCCCCACCATCCCCACCCCCGTCCTCGCTGTTTTCTGGGGATGGAGAAGGTGCCTGGGTCCTCTCAAATGCGCTTGGTTCCCTCCAAATCTGCAAGTGCTAAAGGCACCATCCACCCCAATCTCGGCTCGGACACCTGCCCCCCTGGATGCCCTCCGAGTGCCCCTACGTATCCCAGCGAGGAGGGCTCCGGGGACCCAGCTAGCCCGGCCACGCCAGTGCCCGCCGCTCCCGGGTCCCCGGGCGGGTTCACTCACCGCACGTCCCGTGCTCGAGCCCCGCGCCACGGGCTTTTGTTCGCAGCTCGCCGCTCTCCCTTGCGCGTCTTCAGTCCCCGCGCCCGCGGGGTCGGATCACCGCCGGCTGCAGCCGCGGTAGGAGCCCCAGCTGCCACCGCCGCCACCGCCAGCGTCTCTCCATGGGGCCTGCACACATCCCGGACGCTGCGTACCCGCGGGAGGAGGAGTGCGACAAGGTCTCCCTAAAATAACGCGGCTCTGCTCCCTTCCCTCACTGGTTCTTGAAAAAGGAAGCCGGTTTCCATCGCTGCTGCATCCCTCGCGGTCTCTCCAACGGTAAAGGCACCGCAGGTCTGGCGACGCCCCCGGCGCCTCCTGGTGGACGTTCCAGGGTGCTGGCTTGTTTGCTTAGTGGGCGAAGAAGAGAAATAAATACGTATTTGGTGGAGATGGAGATATATCCCTCTCTCTATATATCTCATATATATATACATATATATATACATATATGTATATATATATATATTTGGGAGAGGTGGATCTATATATATATTTGGTGGAGATGGATATATATGTTTTTGGTAGAAACGGATATATATATTTGGAGATGGATACACACACACACTTGATGGATATGTTCACTGAGAAAAAGCTATTCTATAAGTACCTTATCTGGGTAGAATGAAGGAATAGCTTGTCTTGTTTCTCAAGGGGGACTGAAACACATATAAACTTGATGGTAAATAATTGGATAGAAATATGGTTCCTAATCCAAACTATGACTTTATTTTTTTTTTTTAAAGAAAACTAAGAACATTAAGATAGGTTTGAGACAGGCAGAAAATGGGTGACAAATGATTCATGCAAATTTGGGGGACTTCCTGGCTCCAGATAATACACATTAGAACCAGTTAGTGCCATTTAAAGAATGTTATCCTGAGACCCTTCCTCCCCACCTTTTTTCCTTTTGGAGTGGTAGTGGCCATGGAAGATGGAAAGGAGGACGACTAGAGGGAGGAGCTTGGCAGGTGGGTGGGACATAACATTAGAGAGCATGGTGAGCTACCTTAATAACCTTGATGTCAGGTGGTGAGCAGCAAGTGAAGAATTGAAAGCAGGAAAGTGACATGATCTGATTTATATTTTTGGGAACATAGCCCTAGCAACAATGGAGTGAGGGCTTGGGAGGGGGTAGTCAACAGGAGGTGGGAAGCCTTGTTAGCTGGACACCATAAGGCAGGAAAGATTGGAACTTAAGGGGGAAGAGCAGCAGGAGGAGTGGGCCTGATTGACCTGGGTTGGGGGGATGTACAGATTCCTGAAATCAAAAAGGAATATTCAAAAACAGCATGGCCCTGGGGGTGTTAGCAGCAGTGAAGGGTCAGGCATGATCTCCTGGAGCAATGAGGTGGCTGGTGAGATGACCCAGTGAGAGCATGGACCCAGAGAGAGGATTAAGTGAAGTGGAGGGCCTGAGAAGGAGAGGTTCCTTTTTGACCACCTGAGTGTGGGGTGGAGCTGCCCAACAGGTGGAGTTATAGTCAAGGACATCATTGCCCTATACACAGTTCCTAAAACCAGCAGTGGGAGAGATCACCCAGGAAAGGCAGGAGTGACAAGGGAGGCAAGATGATGAGGCTGCTATAGGAAAAGGAGTCCACGAAGGGGACTAGTAAGGAAATGCAGGAGAGCCTGGTAACATCAACAAAAACAGCTTCAGTATTGTATGGGGGCTGATGCCAAGCTGCAGGAAGTTGAGGTTAGGGGAGGTGAGAAAATGAGCATTCCTGACTCTTGACATTTGGTTGGATAGGAGTGTTAGGAACAGTGAAGGGCTTGAGATCTCACCCTACTTACATTCTGTTTAACAGGCAGAAGGCTGCTAGGTTCATAGATGGTGGCAGAAGACAAGTGCCTCCCTGGACAGAAACAAAGGACTTGGTTACTCCTGACACTGCAGAGGGCACAAGCTTCATGTTTCTGTTGACTCCCCTTGTGCTCAACTCCCACGGGGCAGTGGAGAGATGGGCCCAGATTCTACATCGAATGGGTTTGTGTCACACATGAATGACTCTACTAAGCTTAGTAAATCTTAATCTTCTAATGGGGGCTACTAACAAACATGTTCAACCTTGGCCCTTAGAGGGAAGACAATATCTTCATTATCCCGAGCAGAAAGCACGTCTTCCTCTGACCTGGAGGGAGACTCTGTCTTCCAGGGATGTTTGCTGTACACACATCCTTGGAAAAATAGTCCAGAATAAAAGCTTTTACGAGACAGGCAGAAATGCCACGGAGAGTTGCTCTGAATAGGAAAAAGGAGCAATTGGTCAGGTGGCCGGTAAGAGGTGGCACTGGCATTCGGTCCTGGCTGTCTCATCCCAAAGTGAATGCCATGCTTTGTGTTTCCACGAGTAAAGTATCTAGAGATGTGGAGTTAGGTGCAGAGGAGTGGGCAAGCCGAGCTCTCCAAACCTTGGTTTTCTCCTCTACGTAGAATCCCATTCCATTGCCTACCTCAAAGATTAATAATGTCCGCTATGGGAGTGCCACCTCTGTCATTGAGTAGGAACAGTAATAGCTACCTACCTTCCAGGATTGTTGTCAAAACTGGAAAGATATATGCACAGTACCTAGACCAATATACTGTCAATAAGTGATGATAAAATAGTTACCATTTTTTAAAAAAGATTTTATTTATTTATTCATGAGACACACACACACACGAGGCAGAGACACAGGCAGAGGGAGAAGCAGGCTCCATGCAGGGAGCCCGACGTGGGACTCGATCACGCTCTGGGCTGAGGCAGCACTAAACCGCTGAGCCACCCAGGCTGCCCAAAATAGTTACCATTAATTTTGATAAACCTCATCTTATAGGTGTGGTCAAAATCAAGAAGGAAACATATCTAGGATCTGTAACTTTTAAGGGGAAGCCCAACGAATGTTCCACCTTTGATTAAGGAATGATTCATCAACAGGAAAGGTCATAGGAAAAGAAGGCATGAAAAGGGGACCCTCAAAATGGGACACTGATCTCTAGTGGGCCACTTTAGCAGAACTGAATGGCAAACAGTGGGAGGTACCAGTGAACAGTCAGATATCTCTCACCTCTCAACTTTAAGTGTCTTGGACATTTCAGGAGTTGGGTTTCAAACAGGTTAAGTACTGATTTCTTTCAGGTTGGGCATTCTAGCCTGCCAAAGATCAAAGGTGTTAAATCCAAGGTTATTTTGGCACCCAGTAAAGATAGGAGCCCCGTTTGGGAACATGCACCTGCTCCTTGTGGATGAGGTAGTACGCATGGTGGCGAGGAAGGTGGGCTTAAGAGTCATACAGATTACGCATTCAAAGGCCAGCTCAATCACGCTGTATGATTGGAGACAAGTTTCTTAGCTCTTCTGAGCCTCACCTTCCTCAAAAGAGGAGGCCACAATGTGGACTGTAATTTTGCCTTGCATAGGCCTTTAGAGATGATAGTTTGTTAAGTACCCTGTTCAATCCTTAAATATAATAGCTCACTGGCAGTCTGGGACCTATAAAACTACCATGCACTGGGTGGCTTAAATAACAAACATTTCTCACAGCTCTGGAGGCTGGGAAGTCCAAGGTCATGGTATTGGCAGGTCTGGTGTTTGATGAGGGCCTTTCTTCCAGGTTTGCAGATAGCCGGCTCCTTGTGTCCTTACACGGCAGAAAGCAAAATGAGATTGAGAGAAAGTTCTGTCCTGTCTTTTCTTATAAGGACACAAATCCTATCTTGAGGGCTCCATCCTCTCATGACTTACTTACTCCCAAAGGCCCCATCTCCAAACACCATCACATCAGGGGTTAGGATTTCAACATTTGAGTTGGGGGAGACACAAACATTCAGTCCATAGTAGTCAATTTGGACCAAAACAAAACAAAAAACCCAACCCTCCTACAATGTAGACATTGTATCTCCATTTAAATTCATTTTTCTCAGCCCTCACCACCCACCTCAGCTCTATGCGTTTGTGTTATCCCCTTTCTTCTCAAAATAATCC